TGAACATTTATAAACGCCACGAGACTTCTCACTAATTACGAAATTGCCACCTTGCAACTTTGCAACCATTAGATCATTAATTCATAAATTTGATCAATGAACATAAATTGGTCTTACGGGTCTCACGAAAAACCCTTGGTCTCACGTGAACCCAACCCTATATATATATATATATATATACATACATATATATATATAAGTATATAGAGTTTGGTTCAAATGTTAACCAAGATTATTATGTTAACTTTGTTAACCAAACTCAACCAATAAAAATTCATCTTTTATCTAGGTTCATATTCATCTCATAATTTAATAACAAGGGTAAATATGTAATTTTAGTTTGTATGTAACTCCCATTTAATTAATTGGGAGTTATAAAATCAAAAATCTCATAATTGTTGTTGATTTACTATTAATCTTGTTTTTCTATAATATTGATTTATCTATCTATAATCTTCTTGAATTTGTGATTGTTAAAGGAAGACCGATAGTAAAGTTTTCGATATCGTTCAAACTAATATGGATAAACCCATTGGAAAACAACTCGACAATGATGGAAATATTAAAATGGTTTACGATGACAATCGGACTTCGAGTTTCGGAAGTGAAGACAATAATTAAAGCTTTTGTATTGGTAATGGATTAATATGTTATTGTATTTGTTTCAATCGAAATTATGTTGATTATGACGTTTTTGTGTTTTTTATAGTTCATATTGTGTTGGTAGTTTTTTTTCTTTAATTATTACTATGAGCCCAATTCATATATTCAAATGGAATGAGTGCAATTTTGATAACCATTTGGCTCCATCAGTTACTTGTGATGTTTGACCTGCCATAGACTACAACTAGTGTTCATATACGTTCAGGTGTATTCATATATGTTCTACTAGGAATATGAATCAAGACATCTACTATTGAATTCATATTTTTTGTTAATTTATTATTGATCTTGTTTTTTATAATATTGATTTTTTTGTCTTTAATGTTTTTGAATTTGTGATTGGTAGAAGAGTCCCGGTAGTAAAGTTTTCGGTATCATTCAAGCTATTATGGATAAACTCATTGTTCATAATGAAGGAACTATTGTTCACAAATGTTTATATTATGTTGATGTGGTCATATGTACACTAGCTGCATATCTCAATATTGGCTCGCTTCTGAATTGTTCATAATGAAGGAACTATTGTTCATAAGTTATTCATATTGTGTTCATATTTATACTAGTTGCATATCACAACATTGGCTCGCTCCTGAATGTGTTCATAATTAATGAACTATTTTTCACAAGTGTTCATATGTACACTAGCTACGTATCTCAACATTGACTCACTTCTAAATGTGTTCATAATGAAAGAACTATTGTTCACAAGCTATTTATATTGTGTTCAAACATGTTTTTATTTATTTATTTCATTTCGTATAGCAACTATTCTTATTATGTTCATATTGTGTTCATAAATGTTGTGCAGTCCAAATTTATATATATGTCATTTTTTGTTCGTAATTGACACAATGGTTCATATATATATATATATATATATATATATACACACACACATATATATATATATATATTTGATACAATGGTTTATATATATGTATATATATATATATATATATAGGGTTGGGTTTACGTGAGACCCGTAAGACCAATTTATGTTCATTGATCAACTTTATAAGCTAATGATCTAATGGTCTAAAGTTGCACGGTGGCAATTTTGTGATTATTGAGAACTTTCGTGGCAATTTTGTGATTATGAATATTCAGATTGTAGATTTAATCCAAATGTTGAGAATTGGTCTTACTGGTCTCAGAAAAAACCTTTGGTCTCACATGATCTCAAGTCTATATATATATATATATATATATATATATATATATGGAGGTTCAAAAGAGAACCTCTGTGATTTACGAGAACACGAAAACAACCTAATAACCTAAAATCTTTTTAATTAATAAATTAACTTACATTAAATATAAATAAATTAATAAGGGCAGTAATGTAATTAAGTAATTTTTATAATTTTTATTTTATTTTAATTAGTCATAATTATCCTTTTTTTCCTGCACGTTCGTTTCCACTTTCTTCTCTCCCCTTGTGATAATTGTGTGATTGTGTAACCATAACTTATCGAAACCATGATCAATCAAGTGTAACCATAACCTATCGAAACCATGAGTAATCGTTTGATAAATGTGTGATTGTCTAAACCTAACCGATCGAAACCATGATTAAATTGAGTGCGCAAGTGATGTTATAATAGTGATATCACATGATTATCACACTCAAATTACATCAAATCGTTTAGTGGATTTCGCCCGTAATCATTGTGATAAATGTGTGATTGTCTAACCCTAACCGATCGAAACCATGATCAAATTGAGTGCGCTGTTATGATAGTGATATCACATGATTATCACATCCATATCACACCAAATTGGTAATCGATTTTTTAAGTTAACCCTAGCCGAGCGGAATCCTTATGATAATTGTGTGATAATCACATGATTATCACACCGACATCACACCCAAATCACACCAAATTGTGTTGATATAAGCGATAATGTGATAATTGTGTGATAATCACATGATTATCACACTGATATCACACCCAAATCACACCAAATCATGTTGATATAAGCGATGATTATCACACAATTATCACACCCATATCACACCAAATCGTGTTGATTTAAGCGATAATGTGATAATTGTGTGATAATCACATGATTATCACACTGATATCACACCCAAATCACACCAAATCATGTTGATATAAACGATGATTATCACACAATTATCATACCCATATCACACCAAATCGTGTTGATCTAAGCGATAATATGATAATTATGTGATAATCACATGATTATCACACTGATATCACATCCAAACCACACCAAATTGTGTTGATATAAGCGATAAAGTGATAATTGTGTGATAATCACATGATTATCACACTCATATCACATGATAATCACATAATTAATCGTTTATTAGATAATGATAATCATGATCGTGTTAAAAGATTTTATGATATCATTTCCATTATTACCCTTTTAATTTTAATATTTTTTGAATCTTTTTAAATTTCAATTTTAATTTTAAAAATCTTTTAATTTTATTTACTTTTATCATAATATGAGGCTATTGGGTTGTTCTTGCATTCTCGTAAATCACAAGGATTCTCGTTTGAACCCTTCTCTCTCTATATATATAAATAACTAGTGAGTAATTTTTTTACTACCACCTAATTTACCAAAATGGTCATCTGTGGTTTATAGGAATAAAATGATGTTGATTCCATTTATAACACGACTTTCACTCTCAAAAACAAGAAAAACAAAATTGCAAACAAAAGAAATCGTAACAAGAAGTTAGTGTATCAGTTTATAGATGAAGGATATGAGGCCTGTTTGGAAGTGTTAAGTGAGGGGTTGAAGATGAAAAAGTGTTAAGTGAGGGGTTGAAGATGAAAAAGTGTTAAGTGAGGGGTTGAAGATGAAAAAGTGTTAAGTGAGGGGTTGAAGATGAAAACGTGTCAAGTGAGGGGTTGAAGATGAAAAAGGAAAAAAACGCAAATGATTTTAATTTTTGTGTTGTTTTAAAATAAGTACAATATTTTCCTTTTTAGGTAGGTTTTAAATACAACTTTATCTTTTTTACTTCTTAATAATAGATTTTTTTTATTCTTATTAAATAATATTATCACTTCCAAAGAAAAATGCAGAGAAATTTTGATTAAAAATCAATGACTTACAGGTAAGATTTCAACTCTAAAATCATGTTGTCATTGTTGAATTAATAGTAGACAATGACATTGAAGTGTTTATTAGGGTTCTCATTTTGATGTAAAGCTTGAAAGCGATTAATTGTTGACAAGACTAGTAAACATT